AACCCCTGCGGGGAAATTAGATGGTTCGATTAAAAGTAGATTTGAAGATATCGTAGCATGTGGGCTGGGCCCAGGTGTGTGCCGTCATGTTTGAAGGGCTCACTCTGTCTACATGTTGAGAGCTGCACGTCGAATGCTTTCTCAAAGCGACATAGGTCTTACTCGCAGTGTGTTGCAGGGTGAGTGTGGGTGTGCGCGCGAACCTTGCCAGGACATGAAACAAGGGAGTCACTTCCGTGAACCATTTCGTTCACATTCCCCATTCAGCAGCACCCATGTGATCGTTGCAGCCCTGAACCTACAAACCACCGGCCCACCCCCTCATTCAGCAACTGCCATCAACCTCACCACTTACCCCTTGCTAAGGGCTAAGGGATGGCATGGGCTCGGGATGCTTCAGCGCCCTGAACTTCCAGAAGCCCAGCAGGGAACAACCACCCCAAGAAACAACAGTGGACCGATGGGTTCCGGAGTCTGGAGATGTTTGGAGCATGGTGGGTTTGAGGGCCCTTTGACATGAATAGCCACGCTGCACCAAAAGAGCACCGACTGCACCCCGGTAGTACCTGACACGCATCTTCCAGTTGCAGCTTCGGATTAAGGCTTTCTGCCTGTAGCACTCCGGCTTTCAGCAATTTGGGGGCCTTTCGAGGGCTCGCTCCTATTGCTTTCGCAAACAGACATTCTTTAAGGAGCCGATGCCCAAAAAAAAGCCCCAAAAATCTTAAGCCTTCATGGGCTTAGCCTCTACTAATTTGTGGTGGTATTGAGTTGTAGATACAGGCCGGGAGGGGCTTCGACATCGGTCTAGCAGGCCGTACGGAGAACCCACTCTCCCGAGCCCAACCACGGGCAGCTGTTTGGGTAGTAGAACACACATGCACATGATTCTTGAGCCTTCACGCCTTTGAACAGTGTGCCTCCCACCCAACGACACATGCCACAGCCGAGGGGACTTGCTGGTCGAAGATTTGACTGACTGATGACTACGGGCTGTCCGGGTTGTCTCGAGGTTCAGGTGTGAAGAGAAAAAGTCAGCGGCAACTGGTCGGAACGTCCAAGCAACAAACACAAAGAGTCAGTCTGCAGTCATTGCTCACGAGGGGCCGGGTGAAGGAGCGGCTTGTCGCAGAGGGGGGGGGTTGCACGGTTTGCTACTACCCTATATTCAGGGCTTGTTGCAGACACTGGACTTGACCCGCACACTAACTACGCTGAAAGCCTTAGGAAACCCTAAGCCTAAGCCAAGCTCCAAGGACAGCGTGCTCCTTCCAGGATTTCCCTTTCCGGAAACATGCTGGACCCCAAACCTTGTGGCAACCTCCCCAACCCCGAACCCAAGATGCCAAGCCTGACAGTCCGTAAAGGCAAAAACTCGCAGTACCGATATTCTGATGGTTCTGATGATCTTGATCAAAGAGCCACGCCCTAAAACCGGGTCGCAAACAAAAGTCAGGCTGTCACGCGCTGGTGATCGCCCGATATCGCTCTTGACCCGCTGTGTCCCAAATCTGGGCTTTGATCACCTGCCACGATAGTCGTGGAGGCTTCAAGGTACAGGTGCGAAGTTCTTGCTGAAAGGGGTTTCAGCAACTCTAGGTGAGCCGTGAGCTGAGTGCACCTAACGATCACCAGATGGGCTGGTGTCTGCACAAGGGTTCAGGTTCTTCGCTCCGGTATGCTGTAGGAGGACTGTCGTGGAGGACTGTCTGGAGGTTCCTTCTTGCTTCGGCTTGCTGAAAGCCCGTGAAGGCTTTCGCCCGCCACGCGAGGAATGCGCATAGTCAAGCCTGTGTTTCCTGAAGTCTGGCGCACCAATCACAGCCTCCAAGATTAAGGTGGACCTTCGACGTATGTGAAGTCCTGGCTGTCACTGTTTAACTGTGCGATCCAGACATTATTCGGGAAACAGGGTCCTGGGTCGAGACTTTCGAGATTTGGTGTCGGGCTTGGGGTTGTTGTTTGAGCTTCACTGCTTGTGGCTCAACAGGCCCACTACTACGACTACCACCGCCACCGCCACCGCCACCGCCGCCACCACCACCACCACCACCACCACCACCACCACCACCACCACGACCACGACCACAACCAAAACCGCGACCGCGACGACCACGACGGCTACTACGACTACTATGACTACGACACCCACCACCACCGCCGCCACCACCACGACGGCGGCGACGACGACCACGACCACTACCACCGCCACCTAGACAGGTATCCCAGGTCACTCCATGCCTGCCATGCATTCCGATCAGGTTACGGTTAGACGTAACACATCGCACGCCCGGCACAGCCCTCGTCGGGCTCAATGCCTTGCCATTGGTTGTGATGCTCTTCGTGGCAAACTCGACCTCAAATCTCTAAAGGTCCGCGAGTTTCGAGGCTTACGGCTTGGGGCGCCTGAGGGCTTGGACTCGGACTTGGTGTCTGATGAGTTTTCGTTGCGAACCAGAAGCAACCCTACTCAACTCCAACAAGAAATCCCCGCAACTTTGCTAAAGCCCTGAACGCCATGATGTGCCACGAGACCAGGATGAAAGACTCACCGCTGGGCCTGTGTTCCAGATGTGTGACCCCTGTGGGAGTTGTTTGCAGGAGGAATTCAGGGATGCTTGCTGTCTGTGAATGGCGAGGCGCCCGGGAACCTTCAAAGCGTTGACCTGTTCCGAAAATCCGGGAGATCATTTTTGAAGGGGGTTGCTGTGAGGACTTTTTGGGGGTACACAGGAGGCACCCATGTAAGAAACCCTTCACCCTGTGAGGCATCCGCCCCGATGGTGGACTTCGACTCAAGGTTGAACTCGTCGCGAGTGAACCTTCCACAGCAAACGTCACTCAACGCCATGCTGTCGTGCTGTCTTGGAGGCTTCAGAGCTCAGCCTGGGATGTCGGGCGCAAGTTTCAGGACTTGGGGGTGGAGAAGCACCTGAAAACAAAACACCCAGCCTACATGCCTTAATAACATCAACACATGCTGCCATGGTTGATGTAGTTTGGGGCCCGGGGTGTTTCAAGATGTCATCTTGGGCTTAGGGCCTAGGGCATCAGGGGTTTTCGCCGCGACGGGTGCCTTGAAAGAAGGTTGGATTTCCCAACGCCAGAGTCGCCAATCAGAACGACCTGTGCAGCGTTTGGGGAAGGGCATCTTGCACCCAAGGCCGCTCTGTTTCCGGGGAGAGCTTTGCTCTCTCACATTCTTGTGAGAGCCCCGGACTTACACAAAAGGGCACATGAGTGCCCCCCTCTGCCGCTGGCTTCTGAGATTTTGCTGCATGCTCTCCTCGAGCCTCAAACCGCAGCCCTGAACTCTGAAACTGTCCAGGGATTCCCGCAACACTGCACAGCGGGCCTTGAACAAGTAGTCGTAGTCGTCGTCCTTCGACATCCTAGCGCCTCGGAATTTTTACACCCGAGAAGCCCTTCAGCCCCACGTTAACCCTCACCACCCTCTCACCACTGTGTTTCCCCTCCATCCGGGCTGCGACACGCAACTGTTCGAGCTCATCCGACACATTATAGGCCCTCAACCCTGGACAGCTTGCCCCAGCAAGTCTTCGATGCACTGCAGTGGGGAACGTACACCTTCCTAAAGCCGCCTGGAGACAAGAACAACAACTCTGAATCTTCTGGGCCTTTCCAGTGCTGCGTTCAACTTGAATCCCTACTTTCTCAGAGTCGCGGAGGCCGAATATTGCAGATCTCGCCAAAACAAGCGGCATGCAGGTCTAGCGATGCAGCTTGCGACCCCTCAGGGAAACCACACGAATCTGCAGATCATAAGCCGTGAACATAGGGTTTAGAGATTCAGGTTCAGGTGGGCTAGGGCTTCAGTCTGCCTCAACGGCCCTAAACCCACCTCGCAACCCAACCCAAATCCACGATTGAAGCCCAGCTGCAAGTCAGCAGCCGCGAGGCTGACGGGAAAACGTTCGAGGGGAGCAAATGCCCAAAACCCTAAGCCCGTGACCTACTAAAGAACAAAGGTAACGGCTCTTGAGGCTGTAAAGATGTCTGGTGAGGGCAGAGGCATTTTCTTGGTCTGGCTGCAATGAATCCACGAGAGTTAGAACTCCATCAAACCCGGGGAGCCGCAAACACCTAGACTTTCTGGACCCCTGAGGCTGTGGTGCTGAGTGCGTGAATGCATCATGCATCGCGTCTGAACCGACGTCTGCCGAGAGCGGACATTGAAGATCCAAGGCTGGAACTCGATGCTGAGTGGCAGCCATCAAGGAAAAACCATCGGAAGATCCCAAAGTCGACCCTGCATCATGTCAAGTTGCGGCCAGCTTTAGGCTGTAGATGGATTGCTACACAACAACCCCCCACCCCCCCGCCAGAACCCCCCCCAATAGCTCCTGAACCCCAAAAGCTTTGGTCATCTTGCGAGTTGAGAAGCCCATGAATTCGAACATCGTTGGACTGCGTCAATGCTTGCTGTGACATGATCTGCAATGCCACCCCTAGAGCCTCTGTAGGTAGGGCTTATAAGATTTTGGCATGTGCCCTCAAACAGACGCCAGAACTGATCGGAAGCCGAGGCTATAAAGGCCGCACAAGCTTCCTACTTCCGGTCGAGGGCTCTACAGACTGTTTTTCCCAGCCGAAATTTCTCCGGCCTCAGCTACTTGATTTCATGGGCTGATGGTTTAAGCCGACACTCTCAAGCCCGAAGCCCTCCCAGCACCAGCTCTTTTCCGTCACTCGCCGGGGCTCGTCGGGTCATCTGCTGGCGATACTGCCGGAATAACATCGGTGGCCCCGGTGTAAGTGAGTGGATCGGATTTGGGGGTTCTCAGAGGTACTTAGGCTTAGGATGCTTCTAGGAGGCGCCGCGCAGGCTGTAAGCGGCTCTTTTCGGTGGGCAAGAGCAAGGGCAGCCACCCTCTGTACACTGTACGCATGGCTTCGAGCCCAGCTCGGGCGAGACTTGTCGACTTGTCGATACAGCGCGCCACTTTACATGTCGGCGGCGCAAGCCGAAATTATTGATATCAGTGCAAAGGCCAGAGGAAGCGCATGAGCTTCAGAAACGGCTGCTGCCATCCTGCATGCGAGGAACCGCCACGATGTACTTTGGGTCTTATAAAGTTGAGGGCCTTGAAATTCAGAGGGGCTGGGTTGAGAGGGGGACAACAAAGGTCAAACCAAGCTCCCCGAGAATGTGCAAGCGCCTACGGGCTTCGGCCCGAAGCATATGTTCGCAGCACCACTTCCTTAGACTTGAACATATGAAGACAGGTAGAAGACTGGTAATTACTCACAACACTACGTGATCGAATACGAAGAACAATCCTAAGAGAAGAGCGCTCGCCCATCCGTCCTGCCGGCCGCTGCGAGCTGATTGAAAGCAGCTTCTCATCCACCTTGCGGTTTAGGAGGTGGGTTTAGGGTCCCGGCTCGGGGTCAGGGGGTCAGGGCCGCGGACCCCAAAAACTGATGCTGCTTTGGGGTTTGCAGCTCCTCTTAAAAGACGGGCCCCCGAAGGTCCTAGAAGTCGCGAGGCTTGCAACCTTCAACGGCGAGAGCTCTTCAGGATGGCTCGGGCTCAGGGCTCTGGGTCTCAACTGCACTTCCACGATGTGGGGGTTCATGTCCTTTATGTCCTTGGTGCACTGAAACTCCTTTTGTTCCTTCGTGCTCCGGACGGGGGGGGGGGGGGGGGGTGACTGAGGACTCTTGCAGAGAAAACATTTAGTGCAAGCAGGAACCCTCTTGCAGAGGCAACCTAAACAGCACACGACCTCCTGAAGAAGATGAATGAGCACATGTCAGACATCGCGGAAGGCTTTCCTGGGCAGTACCCCTGTTGCACAACGAAGCTCATCGGTCCAACAAGGTCGAAGCACCACTTCGATGTGTATCATGATGCTGTCGGATGTCTCCTGCGGTGGGAACTTTTTCTGGGAGCTTTGCTGGGGTCGAGGATGTAGGGTTTAGGGTCTAGGGTTTAGGGTTTAGGGGCTTCCCTTGTGCGCTCCGGGTCCCACGTCGGGCCCTCGTAAGCTTTGAAACTGCTGAAAGGCCTCTCAGCCGCAGTGAAAGGTCCAATTTCAACCCGCGAGGCCTGAGAACAGTGTCCCTCAGAACCAGAAACCTCTCAACGTCCCTTTGATGTCAACCCAAAACCTTAAGTGCGCCAATACCCTGAGTCCTTAAACCCTCGAGGGCCTGACTTCTAGGAAGTCGGAAGCCTCTGGACAAGAGAATAACGAGGGTGACGCTGTGTGATGGTGCTGTGGGAGGGGGTCGGGCTAGAGTTTGGGGTCACCAGGGAGAGACTAGCAACCTCTGATCCCCCCGTATCCACCCAGCCAGCCGCAGCCTCTTTGGAATAGATCGCACCGTTGACCTCCAAGCCTCGTTAAAGGCTTCAGGGGCTTAGGAACTTTTCTAAAGAACAATGCCTTTTCAGAGATGGCGACGCGTAGTTTAGGTTTGGGTGGCAATGGGTTGAAGCTTTCCTGGGAGGGCTGAGGGCGATGTGCAGATGCAGCCCGGCGGCGCTTCTTCATCGTGGGCTTGTACGTGTCGAAGACCATGTCCAAGCACGGCCTCTTGGAAGCCCGAAGCCCCTGAAGCCTACCTTGTCTTGTTTCCAGCCACCGGGCTTTCTTCACTTTGCAGGATTAATGGAAAATAAAGGCCACAAGCGAGGGCAGCTAGGGTCTACTGCGACTACAAAGGTCACAAGGTCAATTTGTTGTATAGCTGGGTGGAGGGGAGCGAACTATCATGGGCAGTCTTGGGTTCTTCTGTTCTCTACTCATTGCTTAGGAACCCACAAAGACTAGAAAAAAACTCTTGCTTATAAGGGCAATACAGGGATTGTTATTTCTTAGTTTTTGGGGGTTCTTGAGCTCTAGGTGTGCGGATGCTTTGCCGCAGCGAAGCAAGCCTGTTGAATCCGAAGTTCTTGCGGTGGAAGAGGTGGTGATCCTTCGGATGGGCTGCTGGCTGACAATGCGAGGCTTTGCAGCAAAGCAACGCTTGCTCTCCTGTGGCCTTTTGCAAGACCCGGGAGACGTGGCTGCCGGGTCTTAACTCAGCAAGTGTGACGACTGGATTTGACCTTGTGACCCTCGGAACTTCATTGTGGCAGCCAATGTTTCCGGCTTGAGAAGGTGAGGGACACAAGGAACTCTCAGAGCCAGGCGCACGGTTACCCCACAACCCCGGCAACCCGAGTGTTCAATGGTTTGGGGCCGGGCCACCGCAACATCAGCGTTTTGATTGACGTGCAGGCTCTGTTTTTTTTGCCAGGGCAACTGAGCCCAACAAATCTTGCCGTAGGGCTTTGGCCAGCCCTCGCACACCTGTACTGCATCCACCTTGCAACCTCCCAAACCTCCCAAACCCCTATCCGAAATTCGAGCTTGGGTGTTGGGTTGCAGGGTCAAAAGAATGTGGCTCAACTGTTTTGGCCCAGGTTCCTGATGGTACTGCTCCTCCTTGTAAGGCTCCATACGGCGTTGGTGGCCGTCCTTGTTCCCCAGCTGGTACTTCAGCAGCCTCAGATATCCGTTTCAAGGCTCATTGGGAGGCGGATGCTCTGGACCGAGAATCCCCTGAAACCCTAAGCTGTTGAAAGCCCGATGGCCTAGGCCCTGAATTTACATGCACTGTGACTTCGTTAGCCTCAGGTTTCCGTCCACCCCAAACCCCTACTTACCAGATCCAACCTCTCAATTGACCCGATATGCGTCCCATCCTAAGCGTTGAGCTTGCATCCTCCTAAGGCTGTGGAAACTCTTATCTGTAAGCCCGTAGAGTCGCGCTGTAGGAAGTTCTTGGCCAGCCGGGGCTTGCGAGGCTCTCTGCCTCCCTGCCTCCCTCCCTCCCTCTCCCTCTCCCTCTCCCTCTCCCTCTCCCTCTCCCTCTCCCTCTCCCTCTCCCTCTCCCTCTCCCTCCCTCTCCCTCTCCCTCCCTCCCTCTCCCTCTCTCTTGCTTGCTTGCTTGCTTGCAACACGTATGGGCTCCCGCAGGAGACCGCCCCGGGGGCACGCTCCACAGAGTTAGTCGGTGTGAAGCAGGGCGTGTTGCGGGGTGCTACAACCAGAGCAGAACAGCGAACCAGGAAAAACCTGTCTCTCTCTCTCTCTCTCTCTCTGTCTCTGTCTCTTCTGCCCCAACCCTGGAATCAAGTCTTCCGGGGAAATCTCCGAAACGCCCCCAAATCCAGCAAGACTACTGAACTGAAGCCCTGCACCTTCACCCCTGCTGATCCCTTCCGATCACCTTAGATGCCATCTCGGCACCGGTAGGTCATGAAGGGAGGAGGCAGCCCAAGGACCCGGACCAGGAAAATATCGTGCATCAGATAGAACCACTCCTGCATTGGCCAAACGCTCGGGGGCGGCTAGGGGTTTGGGGGCCTCATGATGCTTCTTCTCTGTGTCTCTGTATGTCTCTGTGCGTCTACCCTATCTTTAGATCGTGCTCTGACAAGGAGGTTGGCGCCATCGTGGTGTGATACTTGCCCTTCTCCGTCTGCAGATTGGGCTCCGATACAGGTGGTCTTCTCTGTCTTCAGATTGTACTCCGAGGCGGGATCTGGTGGCAGGAGCTCTCTTTTCTCGCCTTCTGCGACGACAACCCCAATGCACTCGAGGAGGCCAAGGGCTGCAGGGCTGCATGCGGGTCCATGCAATCGGAAGCCGACAGCCTCAAAAAGTCCGTGGAGGCTGCTTTGTGCGGATTTGTGCGTTGACGCCCCAGCTCCGTATCACGTGCGTGAAGCGAGTGCGCGAAACCAATTTCGCAGTGCGGTCGGGTGCGGCCCTGTGGTCCCATGGCCCCAGGATCCACATCCTGTTCGATGCAACTCTGGGCCCCTGGATCCTTTGGAGCTGCTCTGACATGCCGGATCCTAACGCCGATGAAGGCTTCAAACCTCCACGTTTGAAGGGCTGAAGCTTGATGATGTCGAGGGCAGCAAAGCCGGATTTGGGAATCTCTCAGGGTTCTCAATATCAAGCCTATTAGATTGTCAACATGCACTTCGGCTTTGAATGCAAGATGTTGAACCTGAACTTGCTAGGGGCCTCTGGGAATCCAGCGCCGCTGTGGACATGAGCATCCCAGGCAGTCCCGTCCTTCCCAGGGCACCAGGATCAGGAACTACTTGGGGCCTTGGGGCCTTGGGGGCGCTTTTAGCGGGTCTTTCTGTAGGGCGCAGGGCTTTAGGGCTTCCGAGGGTTTCAAACTCCGCTTTGGGGTCATCTTTCTGAAGGCCGCAAGCACCTGGGCCCCGAAGACTTCAAGCTCTGAACCTGAAGAAGTCTAAACCCCTTTTGGAGGCAATGGCCGGGTCGCCGGGAGGTAGTGGTGCATCCGGTGGGCATGCTCGTAGACACCCGGCCTCCGGGCTCGACGGCACAAGGTTCAGTTGAGTCGGCTTTTGCAGAATTGAGGGGACTATGACTTCAAGGCTGCCCTGTGTGTGTGTGTGCAGTGTCTTACCTCAGCTGACCCCAACACATCACTACGACTTTGGCGGCCTCGGATCTTGCAGGGGATGGCCCCAAGACAACCCCCCTGCTAAGCCCCTGCTCCCGGAATTCTTCCCCCCAAAAACATGGCCAAGGGGCAGATGCTCCATCCGGTGGATGTGGTAGAAGAGGCTCTCCCAAGACAGCACCGTGCGCTGCATGAAGTTGTTGACCTGGATCAGGGTTCAGGGCTTAGGTGTGAGGCTTTAGGCTTGCTTGCGCGGAGGCAGTATGTGTACCCTTTCAATGTGTTGAGCAAGGCTGGCTATTAAAGTGGATGAACCATGTCTACGAGCCACTGACATCCCATTAAGATGGATCAGGCAGGTTGCAGGTTGAGAGCTCTTAAATTAACTCCAACCCTGGAGCGCGAAGAAGCAGAAACTGCGTCATGTTGCCAGTGGGGAGATGCCCACGACGGCGTCCAGTGCCAGCCAGGCGAGGTTGATCCGATACCCCCAGCACATAGTGAGCACCTCGAGTCTACAGGTTGCCAAGAAGCCCAGAGCTCTAAGGTGAAGTCCTAAACCCTGATCCTTTGTACCCCAAGAGCCAGGACTTCAGGGTTCCAGCCGTCAATGGGACCAGGGATTTCGGGTGGAGAGGGGCTTGGCTTGGTGAATTCCATCCAAAGGGACCTTCGGGCTGTCCCTCCTTTCTATACAAGCAAACAGGGAATCTCAGGATCCGTTGCGAGCTCTAGCAGCACGCTTCCAAATTCCTGAGATCGGCGTTGCATGCTGAGGGCGGCACCAGCAAAATGTAGGTCTTGGCCTGGAACGTGCCGTAGATCATATGATAGAGCCTGTTTAGCGGTTCAATTTGAGGTACGGCCGTCTACGAAATCTGGAACTGGGAAATCTCGGTAGGCTTCGCTAGAGCGCCCTTCGCCTTAGAGCAACTCTCAACATCAGAGAAACACGATTCCTGAGCAGCACCCATTGTTCAGCTAGTTCCTTCTTGGCTGCGTTGAGACCCAAAGCTCGACAATCTAAAGCCACTCGTGCTAGGACCAGTGGAGTTTGGGAATGCTGTGAGCACCACAGAGCTGGTGAACAAATGGAGCCACAGTATGCCACAGCCAAACCCTGAGCCCAAAACCCCAAAAGTCCCTAAGCAAAGCGGATAACCGCCCAGTGGCGTCTCGCGCAGAGGCAGTTTCTTCGGCAGGCCGTCGGAGCAAGCCCAAAAGGCGTAGTACCTCAAGGGCTGCACCGATTTCTAGGGGTCTATGGCACAAGACCAAACTTCTTTATGACTTGCTTGACCTACACTCCGAGATGTTGAATGAAGTTGTCTGGTTGAGCTGGCCAGCTTCAAAAACACAACCCAAAACATTCCTGCGAATGAGCCGAGCTCTTCACCACCCTTAAGCCTGCCCGACTGGCTCGAGGCATCCCACTTCAGAAGCAAGACGCAAGTCCCCAAAAATCTTGGTTCCCAACATGTTTAGGGTTTGGAAGCTTACCCACCGTAGGGCCCTAGATTCGGAACCCTAACCCTAAACCCAAACCCCAAACCCTTAACCCGACGCCCCTTGGGACTTGTGCGCTGCAGGCACGCCGTCGCCGCGAAGTCGAGCAGCAATACCATGCCAATCACGGCGCTACCGATCCTCATGCGCGCGATGCAACATGGAACCCGTCCGCAAAAGAGGGCGAGGCTGAGGGTTCAGGCTTCTTGCCAGGGTTTAGGGCCCGTGCCCGCAAAAGCTTGCGAATGTTTAGCGCCTGAGCTACCCGGCTACAACTGCAAAGCTACCAAAGAGGCCCAGTGCAGCCACCTAGGCACAAAAAGAAGCAGTCTGGCGCAGGCTGTTTTTAAATCATCCTAAACCAAGCCCCTCCCCCGCCCTGCCCTGCCCCCAACACCCGGGCCAGCGACTCCACGCTGCAGCAGCTGGGCAAAGGAACGACGCTCAGAGCCAACCCTGCCAGGGCATTTGAGATGGGGAATGGGTTCGAGGGTTGAGGCACATTCCGAACTGTGAGCCACACGTGTCGGGTTGCAGGGCTTGTGGGGTTTGTGGAGGCTTTAGATTATGTTTCTTGGAATCTTGAGGACGAGGACCGAGGGCTTGGGCTTCGGCTCCACTCGCCGAGCCGCCGGAAGCCAAGTGCCCAAGGCACATGGTGTTGAAGTGCATCACGAAGAGCCTCGAATCCCCCATTGCCACCAAGGCAGCTTGTAGAAACGTCCTATGAACATAGATGTCAAGATCCCAAGTGCGCCTGTGCTAAGTTGTACGAGTAAGTCGTAGGATGGACATAAAATCCCAAATAGGAAGCTCTGACCAACAACGCTGTGTGCTTGTCTCTGATTGAGCGAAGCAGCATGAAGGAACACACCAGAGAATAGGGCGCCGCAAGGAATTGCAGCAAGCCCACAGCAACGAAGATCCTCAGGAGATCAACAACCCGCGAAGTGTAGTGGAGCCGAACGGGTCCGCAATGTTCACACAAGTACGTAGAAACCCGCTGTGCAAGGCCTGAAATTAAGAAACCTACTCTCGAATGCGCGCTTCTCGCCGCTGCGAAAGGTATGTCGAATGCGGTTCAAAGGACTTCGACCACAGAAGGCAGAAGCAATGAAAACATTGTCTTGCGCTGCTGGTTTTTAGGGGCGGATGCGTTTGGAAGTCAGGGTTTAGGTTGAGGGCTTCGGAGGTTGCACCGTTTTCTTGGGGGTGGATGGGTTGGGAAGTCAAGGTTCCGGTTGGAGGCTTTTCTTGTTTGGGGAGGGGGGGGGGGGGCAGGGGAAAAAATTACTAAAAGGGGGATTCTCAGGACTTACTCATCATTCGTTGCCCCCCTCCGCTGTTATTTCAATTCCTAACCTACCTTCTTCATTTTCTTCCCCCTTCCACCTTATTCGCTTTTCAGAGGGGGTTTCTAGGGTTTTTCCCAAATATTGCCCTTTTACCCACGGTTTTCAGCATTTTTTCACCAATCATTCCACCCTCATTCATTTTTCAACTCCACTCCCCAACATTCATTCCAATTCTCATACCACCGCCCTTCATTCATTTCCCCTAATTTCCATCCTACTTTTCCAAAGCTCCCTAACAATACCCTTACCAAAGCCCCCGTTGCTTGAAGTCTTTTATCCATTATAATAGGAACCGAGTAAATCAACAACATCGGCGACGACTTCTTCAAGATGGCACGCCTTGCTCGTTTGAAGGGCTTTTTCTTTTGTTAGACCGAGCTTCTGTTCTTGAAAGTCAGCAGTTGCGATGATTGAGCGACATTGACTACTTTCTTACCGTAGCGGTTTTATCCATCAAGATGGAAGACCCTGTAGATTATGGTGATGTATATGTTCAGCTCTACGACAGCTTCATCAAAGACCAGCAGTCAGTGGCAGTTCTACGAAATCAGAGCGATGTTCTTGACAAGGTCTTTGCGTCGGGGTTCCTTTGCAGTGAAGACGACCTGGCAAACACGATAGCCAAGGACATTGAAACAGCCTTCCTAGGCAACCTTCCCGAAGACAGAGATGACGGCTTGATTCTTGAAGACTATGACTTGGAGAAAGAAGCAGAAGATTGGAAGAGCTACGCCCTTGAACGTGTTCGAAGTGCTGACATTCCAACTACAAAAGAGGAGTTTGACGAAGCGGTGTATGGATACCTGTATGCTAACTTTTGGCACTAGAAACGGGTCTTTCCAGCGAGGCTTGAAAAAAGGTTGCCTATGATTGTGAGTTGCAGGTTTCGTGCTCCATTTCCTGCTTCTTGACTTGTGAAAGACACTTTGAAAGCACCTTGCTTGGTTTATATAGCAGTTTCCAGTGCCCGAGCAATTCGTGAAGCTTCCTTTTGTCACACCGACAATGTCCGAGCCAGCATCCAGCAGTGGGTATGCTAACCCTACAGACATCTTTGAGGGTGTGACTTTTCTACCCACCGAAGATGTTTCCAGCAGCGGTTCCGAGGAAACGGGAAACTCAGAACCTGAAAGTGACACCGACGAGACCAAGAGCCAGAAGAGCCGGGACGACAACGACAAGGACTTCTTTGACAAGGGCAACGATAGGAACGACGAGGGAGGGAATGTGACGCAAACTACGTCATCTTCCCAAACCACGTCCCAGACAAAGATGACCACCTTCACGGACGCCGAGTTGGACGAGATGCTGAAGTCAATCGAGCAGAGGTTGAGTGAGTTGAAGGTTCAGGAGAACGCTATCAAGAAGGAGAAGGCAACAGTCAAGAAGGAAGTTTCCACCCGTGAGAAGGAAATTGCCAAGAAGAAGAAGGACGAAGAGAAGAAGGTTGCAAGCGACAAGAAGAAGGCGGTTCGTGAAACCACCTTCCGGATAATCATCAAGCCAGTCGGCATTGATAACTTCCCGAACTCCTTTGAGATTGAGGTTTCCAACGGCGATTGCTTCCCCGACATCCGCAAGATCGGCGCCAAGAAGATGGGCATTAGCAACAAGAAGCTCAAACTGACAAGCGATGTCTTTGACCTGTCAGTCAACCCAAGGACCACGATCGGCAAGCTCTTTTGTCCGTCAGACCCGCCCCGCAAGGTCAAGGCAGGTGACACTTTCTCACTGTCAGTCATTGCAAAGGGCGGTGCGAAGAAGCGCAGGAGCAACGACGACATCTTCTTTGACTTGCCATCCAACCACGACGTGAAGGAAACCACAGAGGAGAAAGACCTGTGGGGTAGGGTCTTCAAGTATTGCACCGAAATCACCACCAACAAGGAGTACAGCACCGTGACGATTTTGAAGACGATTGACAAGACAGCCCTCGACAAGTGCGCCAACGACCTGGTGTCAAGCAAGGCTCGTGTGTCGGACAAATTGATGAAGTTGGCAAGTGCTACACCGATGGCAAAGGAGATGCAGAAGGTGTGCGACGATATCACCTACAACCTTGAAAGGTACAAGAAGCAGCTGGCAAAGAGCATCTATGAGTCCGGAAGGATGACAGGCGACACCTTCGAAGCCGGCGTAGTGGCGGGAGCAATCAAACAGCTTGTGGCAGGTGGGACACAAAGAATAAAAAAAACATAATAGGATATGATAAAAAACATCATAGGGTATGATAAAAATCATCATAGGGTATGATAAAAATCATCATAGGGTATGATAAAAATCATCATAGGGTATGATAAAAATCATCATAGGGTATGATAAAAATCATCATTTTAGACCATTCCCTTTGGAGGTGCTGATGAGACGCCAGCCTGAAAACGTGGCTCACCGTTGCTATCAAGCAGAGATTTCGCCGAAACACTGTTCATCCTGTGAGAGAGCGGTGTAGGGCGAAGACCCTGAGATTTTCGCTGAAACGCTTCTCATCTTGTGAGCGAGTGGCGTAAGGCAGAGACCTTCTCAACGTGCATTTTGCGAGATTCCGAGTGCAAACTCGCTCTGCTGTTGCTTTGTGAGGTTCTTACAGCTCCACATATCAATGACAATGTAAAAAATCCTCTTCCGTGCCAGGTTCAGAAGTCATTGTCATCCGCGACTTCTAGAAGCCACGCGCCCGCTCGGTTTTAAGATAAGGTTGTTTAGGATAGGGTTTTTAGGAAACTTCAGGAAAAGAATTAGCTCCGAAGGTTGAACAACCATCTCAGAACCGGAGCGTACAAACATCCGACTGTTTATTTAAAACAAAGCATTTAGGGTTTAGGGTTTAGGGTTATTTAGTTTAGTTTAGTGGTTCTGCACCGCCCTCAGTCCGTCTTGCATTTAGGGTTGTAGGGTTTAGGGCTTTCGGTTTAGGGCTTTCGGTTTAGTGCTTTCGGTTTAGGGCTTTCGGGTCTTTCGGTTTAGGATTTTTTTTTCTCATTTTTTATTTCGCCTTGTCAGGCGTTAGGGGTAAAAACAACGAGTTTTTCTTTACAACCTGTCGGTTGATTTTTATTCCGCCTTGCCGTAGGTTCTCACAACAAACCCTTCACGCAACCACACACGGAAAGAAAACACCAACGAAAAAACATAGGGAAAACACTGACAAAAACAAGCGGAAAAATAGAAAACATCACTTTTTAAAATACTGATTATATAGGACGGACTTTTAAACACCTACCCGAGGGAAAATCACAATAAAAAGCAACAAAAAACAAAACACCAGCGAAAAAACATTTAAAAACACTGACAAAAACAAGCGAAATAAACAAAAACAACAGTTTTTAAAATCGTATTTATAAAGGAGGTACTTTTGAAACACCAACCCGAGGGAAACGTTGCAACCTCAAACCCAAAAATCAAAAGCGCCAACCCCAACCCAAACCCAAAATCACTTAAAGAAAAGACACATTATATTATAATGGAGTCAGGGGAGTACCGTTCAGTGTTAAATTTCTTATTTTCAGATAAACAAGCAAACATAAAACGTAAGGGTAATAAGGAATACAAAAAAGTTATTATAAATGATGTTGAATATCCGTATAACAAAGAAAAGCCACTAGTTAAAAAGTTAAGAACAAAACTGGAACAAGTTTCAAAAACTCCTCAATACAGACGCTTCAAGATCCTTGAAAAAGCATCCAAAGGCATTCTAGCAAGAAATGCTTTAAAGAAATACGCTATTAAACACAAAGCCACAATCACCGACGAGCAATCGGCTTTAAAATCTTACGCTAACACCTACTCAATATCTAACATAAAACTTCCTCATATGAAAGGCTTATCTTATTTCATACACCAAAAGGACAAACTAAACGAATACCTTAAAAAACACAAGTCAATGAAAGTTATAGCTTTTGTTGAAATTGTTTTTGATGACATAGAAACAGAAGACGAAATAATACACTCAATAAAATCTAGACGTTACAATATATTTAATGAAGATGATTTAGTAAATGCTTTAAACAATATGGGCAAAGACATAGAAATAACAGTAGCAGAAAAACAAATAGAAAGGTCAGGATTAAGAATTAAAAAAATTCATAAAATCACGATACATTATGACAAATACGACCCTACACGAGCAGGAAAATATTTTGACTTACCCGAATGGGTTATGAGAAAGAAGGCTTGCATCAACATAAAAAACGACGATGATATGTGTTTTAGATACTGTGTCTTATGTAAGTTTTATGAAATATTCAAGAAAGACCACCCTCAACGAATGTATCATTATAAAAAATATATTGATGAAGATCATTTCATAAAATGGGATGATATGAACTATCCAGTTTGCAATGATGACATTGACCATTTTGAAGAAATAAACGGAAGAACAATATCAATAAATGTTTATACCATAGATGAAGAAAAGAAAACAATAAGACCCGACAAAATAACAACAATTTCAAAGCCAGTTTGTCACGTAAATCTTTTACGAATAGACCACGACGACATTTTTAATCATTATGTTCTAATAAAGGACTATTCCAGACTTATGAGTTCTCAAACCAACAACCACAGAGAAAAAC